GGTATTAACACTTCACGTGATCTTGATTCTATCCCTCTGTTTATGCAGCCCAGAACTGTGTTGGCTTTTTTGGCAGCTGCTGCACACGGCTGGCTCATATCTAAATGGTTGTCCACTAGGACTCCAAGATCCTTCTCACAGTTACTACTATTGAGCGAGGTACCACATATACGGTACCTGTGCATTAGTATCATCCCAATTTAAATTTGGGGGGGGGAGGTTCTTCATCCAAATGTTAAATTCCCCTAGACCCGTGATGGTGAACCTATTGCACACGTGTCCAAAGTGGCACACGGAGCCATGTTGCCTGGCATGCGCAGCGTCGCCCATTCCCCTTCCGGGTTTCTGGCACACATGCAGGCATGACGATCAGCTGGCCTTTTTGCATGCGGCACTGCCAGAAACTAGAAGAGCTGGTCTTCCGTTTTCCTGCATGAGCACGCACACTGGCCAGCTTATCGTCGTGTGCGTATGCGCGCCAGAAACCCGGAAGAGTAGCTGGCTGAAACCGGAAGTTCAGTAGCTGATACCAGAAGTTCATTTTTGGGCGCGTGCATGTGACCTGGACAACTCCTCTTCCATGTTGCGTCCCAGATGCGCACGTTCGCCATCACTGCCCTAGACTGTAAAACTGAAAGGAAACACAGAGAGGCCATCCATCTTCAAAACCCAGGCTATCAAAACCATTGGAATAAATATTTGCAACCGTGTTTGTTGTCCTGGAAGCTCTGAAGCTCACCCAGGAGTAGGAATGGAAGGGTTCTCCCAATTCTTTACCAAGTTGGAGGCAAAGAATGGAGTTGAAGCTGGCTTGAGGAAGCCACCCGCATTAAATAACCCACTTGTGTGTCCTTTAGTGATAGCAAACGCTTTTGGTGTTTCCATTGGTACACTCAAGTAGAAGTTAAGATGGGTGTCCCAAAAGTGCTTTTTCAAGAAGCAACTGGTCCAGCTGCCTCTTGAAAAAAGCACCCTTGGGACAGCCATGACCTGGATGACTGAGGATCTCCATAGACATTTAAGATGGGTGGTCAGATGGAAAGAGAATAAAGGAGGACTGTGATTCAGAAAAGTCTACAGGTAAGTCCTTGACTTACAACCTCAGTTGGAACCAGAATTAATGAATGAATAAGTTGAGGACCACCGGTACAGTGAGAAAGTAAATATTCTGAGATGAACCCCAGTATGTCCTTCCAATAGAGAAAATGGTGTTGCAAGGGTGCTAAGTAAACAGGAGACACACACAGAGAGAGAGAGAGAGACAGGGAGGGAGGGAGGGAGGGAGGGAGGGAGAGACAGACAGACAGAAAGAAAGAAAGAAAGAAAGAAAGAAAGAAAGAAAGAAAGAAAGAAAGAAAGAAAGAAAGAAAGAAAGAAGGAAGGAAGGAAGGAAGGAAGAGTTTCATGCTATCCTTTGGTGTTGACAGGACACTCAGAAAGCCATCAGGTTTGACAGAACACTCCCATCAAAATTTTAAACCATGCTTTTCTGCATATGACCCACTTGCGTTCGTTAAAACAAAAATAAAAACCACAAACCACAAAATGCAGATGCCAAATTTTAATGAGTTCCACTGAGTTTCAGGGCCCTCACTAAGTGTCTCGTAAAGAATTGCAAAAGGGAATTACTGCCCCCCAGTGGGAATAATGAGTATTGGCTGCTTTTTTCCCCCCTAGCAGAGCCTGTGCTGTACAAAATCTCTTATTCTAAGCATGGATTAGGTTGCTACAGTTGTACGTTTGTTTTCCAAACTCCTCCTTAATCAAATTCATTTTTAAGTGGTAACCTGGGCGAATATCTGCTTGCTATTGCACAATAGCAATTGGCAGCAATAGAGAGACCCCAGCAGAATAGCTGGATTTGGGGACTGCTCATATCATTACAAATTTGGAGATTGCTCAAATTAGGACAAATTGTTTTATTTATTTATATCCTGCCTTTATTGCTTTTACAAATAATTCAAGGTGGCAAACATATCCAACATACCTTCTTCCTCTTATTATTCCCAAGGCCACCGTTTGAGGCGAGTTGGGCTCACAGTGACCAGCCCAAAGACACCCAGCTGGCTTTCATGGCTAAAGCAGGACTTGAACTCGCATTCCCCTAGTCTAGTGATTGGCCCAGTCACCCAGCCAGGTTTCATGCCCAAAGTGAGATCAGAACTCACGGTTTCCTGAGGATTGGCCAATGGCAAAGCCATCCAGTGGGTTTTCATCAGTGATGAAATCCAATTTGTTTTTACTACCAGTTCTGTAGGCGTGACTTGGTGGGCGTGGTGTGGCTTGGTGGGCGTGGCAGGGGAAGGATACTGCAAAATCTCCATTCCCACCCCACTCTGGGGCCAACCAGAGGTGGTATTTGCCAGTTCTCCGAACTGCTCAAAATTTCTGCTACCGGTTCTCCAGAACCTGTCAGAATCTGCTGGATTTCACCCCTGGTTTTCATGGCTAAGGCAAGACTAGAACCCATGGTTCCCAGCTTCTAGCCTAGTACCTTAACACTAGACCATACCGGCCCTTTAACTCGAATTAGTTTATTTTGTGGTCTTAGCCAGCAGACTTGATTTTTTTCCCTCCTCTGCATGGAGCTATATGGCTTTGTATAAGGATAATACGAACAAGCTTATTTGGGGAAGAAGGGCAAGAAATGTGTTCAAATACAGGCCATTCATTAAAAACTAATATAATACCAGTGCCCGAAGTCATGCTTTCTTCTGCCCTTCCCTGTTAAAACTTCTGCCTTGGAAGCCTGCGACCGGTGATTTATTCTTTCTCTGGCTATTCTTATGCCGTTTGGGGAGCACTTTGGCTGAAGAATGGGATAAAATATGCTTCAAATAACAGCTGGTTGCAAACAGGAGTGTGTTGATTTCCTTCATGTAAATAGGAGGCAAGAATTCCTGCTTTGAGGGTGATGCAGTAGTGAAATTCAACTTTTTTTACGACCGGTTCTGTGGGCGTGGCTTGGTGGGTGTGGCAGGGGAAGGCAAAATCTCCATTCCCACCCCACTCCAGGAGGAGGAGACTGCAAAATCTCCATTCCCTCCCCACTCCTGGGGGAAGGATACTGCAAAATCCCCATTCCCTCCCCACTCCTGGGGGAAGGATATTGCAAAATCCCCATTCCCTCCCCACTCCTGGGGGAAGGATATTGCAAAATCTTCATTCCCACCCCACTCTGGGGCCAGCCAGAAGTGGTATTTGCCAGTTCTCCTAACTATTCAAAATTTCCGCTACCGGTTCTCCAGAACCTGCTGGATTTCACCCCTGGGGTGATGGCTTAGGTATGAAGTACATAACTAATTATTTGGCACAACCAGATTACTACATCATCCCCCTGAAGATAGATGTAGTAATGTAGCACATAAAGGCAGTTATGATTCATGTTGCTATCTGCAACTGTCTAATGCTCTGGAACTGAAAACATCCCTATATTTCTTCTTTTTTTTTAAACCAAGTTTTGTTAAATTGGGTACACCAAAAAATTAAAACAAAAAAAATATATAGTTTTGGAAAACCAGTTCTTCTTATGCTGTGTAATATTTCTTTCCCGTTTGAGGAATCCCATAAATTTCTCAGGAGCCGCAACTCTCTCCCACATATGGTGAGCTGTGGATCATCTGAGATGCGAAAACTGTAGGAAGTTTCAGTAAGAGTTGGGCATTTTTTTTAAAAAAAAATCTGTTTTGGGGGAGCGTTGTGGAATTGAAGAGCTGACAACAGCATCTTTGTGTATCCCTTGATGTATGTTTCCGTAGCTTCCATTTTTTAAAAAGTGATTGTATGGTAGTGAAATAAGACAAAAGGAAACAAATGTTATTGTCTAGAAATTTTTAAAAAAACCTTCAGTACTGTACTTCATCTTTATTGTTGACAGCTGCTTTTATTTACTTATTTTATTAAATTTAGATACTGCCCACCTGTCTGATAGGATGACTGGGTGGCTTACAGAACCCAAAAAAATAAATAGAAAAGCAACTAAAATGTTAAAAATGTTAAAATGAGGCAAAAAAAAAAATGGTTTTGCTTTGTAAAAAAATGTTGCCATTTCTATTGTGTTAACGCAATACTTTCTTCAACTGTAAGTTTGACCGTTTGATTGTTGAACCTCACTTGCCCTTTTAAAAAGTGCTTCAGGTCCAGAGGTGGTATTCAGCCGGTTCGGACCAGTTTGCCCAAACCGGTAGTTGAAATCATGGGTGGGCTTGTCTACCTGTTTGCCATCCTATTAAGGCATGTTTTTGAGATGGGGCGCATGCACCGAAGGCACGTGTGCAAGCGAAGCACATGCGGCGGACCGGGCACATGTGCAGAAGGCAGGCGCACAAACGAAGCAAGCTTGCGCACGGTGAAACAGTAGTAACATAATGTGAAACTCACCGCTGTCCAGGTCAATAGCAGGTAAGGGAGAAAATCAGAGGTGGGTTTCAGCAGGTTCTGACCAGTTCTGGAGAACTGGTAGTGGAAATGGGTAGTAAAACGGGAACGGGTAGTAAAAATTATGATTGGCCCCACCCCCATCTATTCTCTGCCTCTCAAGTCCTAGCTGATCAGGAGGAAATGGGGATCTTGCAGTAACCTTCCCCTGGAGTGGGGTGGGAATGGAGATTTTACAGTATCCTTCCCCTGCGATGCCCACCACGCCATGCCACACCCACCAAGCCACACCCACAGAACCGGTAGTAAAAAAAATTGAAACCCATCTGGAGAAAATGTTACTTTGAACTCTCTTCGTGAAGTAGAAAAAAATTGGTGGGACGATGGTGATGTTCTTTTGTCACATGTCACATGGAAATTATAGGTGCAAACGTGAATTTTTGTGCTTATAAGATTCACTCATGTGTTAAGATAAACCAGTGATGAGAGATTCAACCATTCCTTTTGGGAAATCATGGTGAAGTTCTGTCATGGACAGTGTTAATGTTCCAAACTACAACTTCTCTCTCTATAAACTCTGTAAAATAAGTGAAAATGCAGGAAAAATAACGGAGACCACAACATAGACTTTAACCTGGCTTCATTAATTGCTGAGTTGTACATCTGAGGTTTGTGGGACTGTTAGGTTGTTCTGTTTTTAATAGCACAAGACACCTGAAGTCTGGTCATAGCATTACAGTACAAATTAAAAAATAAGAATAGTAAATGAACACATCTGCCCCCATACAGCGCGGAGAAATGAGAATCTAAATATTTACAAGGGAGGGGAGGAAGTGGGATGCACAAAAATATTTACATAAGAGAACATGAGCTCGTCGGCATATACATTTTATACCAGTTCTTACACACAAGAGTAAAAAATAAAAATAATAAAAAATAAGACACTATATAAATTAAAAAGAGAACACTTAGAGAGCTCCCCCAATCTTTCCGAGAGGAGCCTCGCATGTGGCTCAAAAGACGACTCAAGTTTCCACAGCAGGAAAATAAACCACACAACGATCATTTCTTGTTCGTTTTGCAATGGAGCTATACAATATTAAACTTACTGGAGACACTGAAGTTACTGAGCACATGTTAAAAGTGTACCATGCCCATTGCATCAGTTCCCATAGCACAAAACTCTGGAGAAAATGTCATGCCGAAGCCACCTTTAAAAATTAAATTCAGAATCCTCTAAGTCTACAATACCATTCCCAAATGCTGTGTTTTGTCACGTCGCAGTCCGCTGACGCATCAACCTATCGAATTGAAACGGGGCATCTGGATGGGGTGGGGAGAAGACATACAGGGGGACACGTGTCTCTGGGGATGAATGGGGAACATCGTTTCAGAAGCGAGCAAATTTTGGTTGCGTGGGGCGGTTTCTGCCAGAACTGTGCAATTCTCATTGTGTCCCTCCCTCCAAGCGGTAAGACTCCCCCCTCCCCCAGATTACGTCTGCAAAGACGTAGGCACAATGTTTTTCGCTATCATCTGCATAAACTTTTACACCTGATTAAAAACTCGTTTTAACGTTAGGAACAAGGACGCAGGGCCTACAAAGGCCTGCTAATGCTACCAAGGGAGGAACGGTTTTCCTCTAAGCACACATACAAACCTGGATGTAGATGGGAGCACGGTCTACCGTTAAGCATCTGAAGTTTCATCAACAAAAGGAAAGAAACTTAAGGGACCCAACCGCTGAGGGATGGTTTGCATCATCAGGTTCTTTGCTTGGGACCTGAAGGCCAGTTGCCACAGCTAATTAGACCTAAGGTTTATGGCTGATGTGATGAGCACGTATTTTTAACCACCAAAACCCGTGCTTACAGAAAAAAAAGATGAGCAATGCTTACTCTTTGTACACTGTGGGAGTGGAGCCTAGATTTAGGTTCATTAAAGAGGAGGGGGGGGATGTCTCTTTTAAAGTTCAGTGCTCCAAAATTAACCAGGGTACATGAACAGGCCTGCATAGTTAATTCTATGGCTTTCATGGGGGTGGGAAGGAAAGGGAGCTTTTTTTAAAAAAAAAAAATAGTGGTAGAAATATTAGGAGGAAATATTAGCAGCTCTTTCAAAGCTCAGGAAACTTTTGCTGAATTTAATTGCTGCCATTAAACTCTTGGCGCTTTCGAGCTGAAATTTTGTACAGCGCTTTCCCAACCACGCAGAGGCCCTACGCAACAGGGGACAATATTCCGTGATTGAATGCTCAATTCCGTGTTGAAATAGTTTAGGTTAAATGCTTTAAGCGGCGGACAGGGCAAGGGACCCCAAGGGAGAAGAGAAAGAGAGAGAGAGATGAGATCATATTATCATCAGCTCAGTTAGAGGAGAGACAAGGAGTTACAGACAGGAAAAGAAATCAGGTTAGTTCTGGGCAGCAGATAGCCTAAGACTGATGGAAGGAGAGAATACAAGGAAAATTGAGGTTTTTGTGAAGGTAAAAGTTTGAACTGTAGGTGTTGAAACCTGAACCTCAACTGTCCTGAGGACAATGGTATATCCTTGCCCTAATCCTAGAGGGAAACTGAACAATGTAAGCCAGCATCCACCAACAGAACATCAAGAGATCAAAAGGTTGGAAGCCACAATGGCTGTGTGCCATTTGTGGGTTACAACTGGGCTTGTTATAGGGAAAGACCCTAGCAAAAACAAAAACAAAAAATCTGCTTGCTCCAGACATTAGTGCATTGGAATGTTCCTTCCTCCATTTCTCACTATTGCAGCATAAATAAACAAAAACAAATAGGGTTGGGTTTTTTTTTTTTTTTTGAAAAATAGAAGTAAGTTTAAATCACAGTGAATTTTCTGACCACTAAATCTGTACTTAAGACAATCAGAACTTCAAAAGAAATTATGCGTCAGAATGACCAAAAGAACGTAATCTGACTGTAGCTGTAGGGGACAATGTGAGTAACTGATATTTTGCTGGTTTTGAGAAGCTTCTGTTACCCCTTGTGAAGATACCTGATGTTGCTCAAGGGCAAACCTGACATAGGTAGTATTCTGAGTTAATGCCCATCAATGATGCTGTAACAAGGGCCCAGACACAGAGAAACGACACAGATGCTTCCCACGGGCCTCATTCTAGCGTTAACATTGTTGTGGTGACCTCAAAGAAGCAGCACTTTATTCCTGGGATAGACTCCGGCCACTTTGGAAAATCTTAGCACGGACATGTTGTTTAAGCTAGCCTAAGGCAGCATGAAAACCCCAAGGTCCCTCTGCGCTCCAGTTGTGACAAGGACACTAAGGATGAACAGCTGTGCCTATTTATAACTTCTCCAGAAAAGGAAATTCAATGCGGCATCCTCTTTCAACAGGCATCTTAAAATAAAAATGTAAAAAGTGAGAGGCAGTTGTGTACCCACAGGGCATCTACTGCACACAGGTCTCCCTTACAGTGTGGGGCAGCATGGGACTTGGGAGCTCTCTCCCAACACAGACACACTTCTTGCCAGACCACCAATTTTCCACCACCTGCTACCAATATCACACTGACTGGGACTGCTGGAAGTTGTAGAGTCCAAGTAAGTACTAAACACCCATCACTATCCTATAAACACTACACGACAGGTGCCAGCGCACTGTGGCCTGTTTTACTGACCCTCCCATCAAACCAACTGGAATTTTCCTACGTCTGTAGTATCTTTCCCCAGTTCTATGATGATGAGCTTATCAGGATCAGCTGATCGGCAGCACCAACTGAGCAATCAGAAAGAAATATGGAATTGTTTTTCTAGACTCTAGACCACTGCTGGGTTAGGCTAGGCACAAAGCTACTCAATAACGACGTTGAAATAAATTTCCAGTGCTAAAACGATGAAACGCATCACGATTCTTTTGTATCCGTGACGGAGGGGAGGGGACCCAGCATTGCGTTTTTCAATGGCTCTCACTCAGGAGAAAGATCCCTGGATATTTTGTTGCTCAGAAGCTTTTGCAAGATACGCCACTTGCTATGGAAAAGATGTTCGGGAAGTTTATTCCCTTTATGAGATAATAGAGGCAGCGCCTGTCGGCCTGGCAAAGCAAAGCTCCGATTAGAACGTATGAATGGTTTTCTCTCCCCGCCCTCCTCTCACTTCTCAAATATGTGAAGCAGCTTATTACAGATTTCTTCATGGGGAAATAAGACCAGGTGACATGCCTGAGACCTCACCGCCTTCTTACCGATACCAGCCGCCCAATATGTGACTGGCTTGCACCTTGACAAATAGGGAAAGCAAAATTTAGGGTGGAAAAAAGTTATATGTTATAGTGGTGGTATAACTAAAGGGAGAAGAACACACGATGCAAAATCTTTTTTTTTCCCCCTAGAGTTTGAGGCATAAAACCTGAAAGGACCCAAGTTAAAATATTGACTAAAGCTTGGCATTCCGTAAAACTTCCTCTAAATGAGCACAGACAAGGGACTTTTGCCTAGAGAAGAAACGTCTGTGTTAGCCTATCAATACGTACATCATGCGTGTGGCTTTAAAGGACAGGGACCGCTAAAGGAAACGCCATGAGTTGAAATCTATGGAAACTGAGAATCATTCACAGTGCGACCCGTCTCTCTCTTCATCCTTAATGCTGCTCTTCCTGGAGACCGGTTGCGTCTTCAAGTTTAATATATATATTTAAAAAAAGCCTGTGTGATTGTTGCAAGCTACATTTTAAACGATGGGATAAAACTATACATTTAGTGTTTTGTTTTGTTTTTTAAAAAAGTCCCTATAAGCGGCATGAGGACTGGACAGAGCAGAAACTCAACAGGGGCTAATGGAAGGAGTTGGTTTTGGGTGTTCGTGTGCATGTTTGTGCATCATTGAAAAAATAAACCAGTCCACTGTCCAGCAGAGGCTGCTAACACTCTATCCCTTCGGGCCCCCCGAGCTCACTCTGCATGGACTTCCGTCTCTGGCCTCTGAAGGCAAAGCTCAGACGATAGGAACGCTCCTTGGCCCAAAGCTGTGGCGTAAGTCCTACTATGTGGATGAGGAAAAGAAGGTGCAACTCCCCCTCCTCCAGAGTATCCCCCTCTTTGGTGCTGAGGCATGGTATGGTAATCATCCAAATTATCATACTGGGATACCACAGTCGCCGTACTTTGGCGTTTGCCAAGGGTTTGGTATGGGTACAGGAGACCCGCATCCCGCGGTGTGCTCTCAGAGTGCTGGAAGCGGAGGCTATGGCTCCGTTCCGGCTTAGGCGGTGGGCCCGGAGGCTGCCCGTAGTGCTCGCTCTCTTTATAGCAGTCTCTGGAGTGTTTTTCAGCTGGAGCAGCCGGGTGTCTCGACCGAGCCCGTTCTCCGTCCTCAGCCAGCTTCACCTCTTTGTGGTTCAGTCTCAACACGTCATGGTTAGCTGGGATGTATTTGCCACCCGAGTGCTGATATGTCAAGCATTCCGTGGGTTCCGACAGGTGGCCCTTTGGTCGGTAATCAGGGTAGGGAGGGGTGTTTTTAGCATCCGGCATCTGCCTGTGAGCCGCTTCGTGTGCAAGGTGCATTCTGTGCTCAATGGAATTACAACTGACCTCGGGCGGTTTTCTGCTCCTCAGACTGCTTTGTTTCTGAGGGAGCATAGGTTTCTCCGACTGTCCGTTCCCATAACCACCGCGGTAATGGGCTCTGTCAATGTCCGGTTCCGGCTGGGGCCCGTAGTAGCGTTCCTCTCCCTCGTTTAGGTATCTCCCTTCTTTCCCATCAGCAACAGTGAGGAGTCCAGTTTTCCCAGGATCCGATTTGCTGCGCAAGTGAACAACATCTGTGGCCCGTACCTCCTCTTGCAGCAAAGGGGCTATGTTGTCATACTGGGACATGACCGGCCCCTTGACTTTCTGACGGGCACGGCTCTCTCGGCGGATGGACTGCATGCAGTATTTTTCCATATCTTCCAAGTCCCAGGAGACATACATGGGTTTGACGTCAGAGGCAGGTGGCACATCCCTGCTGATGAAACTATGCTCTTTGCCTGCTAGGTGCCCAGGAAGACCTCCCCGAGAGTAGGGTGGTAAACCAGGACAGCGGTAGAGGTTCTTGGTCGGTAACTTGGAGTAGGATGGAAAATCTTTGCCTGGGAGAGGATGGAACTGCCTCAACCTCACTGTACCGTAAGGATCCAAGTCGTAAAATCCACCCTCGCCTGCAGTATAACAAGAAACACTGGAGGAACTTGAGTAAGGGCTGTATCGGTAATGAACCCGGCCATTCTCAAAATAAGGTTGCAACTGAGTGACATGATAATCTCCATGGGGCTGATATGGCTTGTACTGGAGGATGGGTCTAGGGCAGTAAAGAGGATCGTCATCAGGGGGCACCTCAGTGCGGGAGATGGGAACCGATCGGATGGCAGAGGGAGTGGACACGTGCAGAGAATGCACCCTCCGGATGGTGGGGTAGGGTGGGGCTTCCTCCGCACAACTGCTGCTCCTCATTGTTGGGCTTAGGGAAGACAGGTATTCGATCCGACTGCGTGGCTTGGCATAATGAACGTACGCGCTCTTTCCTTGACTGGTGTACGCATTATATCGGGACCCCAAGGAAGGGGGGGTCTCCGACAGAGAAGGGTAGCCCGGATGCTGCTCAGACTTGCTGTGAAAAAGGTGGGGCTGGCTATTTTCAGCCCTGTATTGATGAGCCGATGAGGGTTTGGGATGTGCTGGAGGCTCCGGCGTGCTTTCTGACTTGGAGGGAAGGAAATAGGCCGACGGAAGGGATGCTTGTTTAGATAGGGCAGGGGTTGCCAACACATCCTCTGCTGACAGTGGCAATGAGGAAGAAGCCATAAAAGCATGGAAATTGGCAGGGTTTATCGTGTCGGCGCTGTTGGAATGCATGGCGGCTGCAAGTTTGCTCTCCATTGTCCTCACAGGCGGTACCGGAGGCATGAAAGGGTACGACGATTGAGCTGGGACAGATTCGGACCTCATCTGTAAAGGTGGAGCCCTGGTATTTTCTCGGGGTTTCTCCAAGTGTCCCTGGTGAAACAGAGCCACTGGGGTGGCTGACGTGCACTGGATTGTAGCGCTGGCTTCCACATCCAAGACGGGAGCTGGCTCGGCTGTTCTAGGCTCCAGCAATTTGTCTGCAGTTGTCTCTCCTTGTACCTAGTAGAAGAAAGCACAAAGGTTAGAAATTATAAATCCCCAAACAGTTGCGGAGATGAATACAGGCTTCACTTGCAAACCAAACTAGTTTTTTTTTTTTAAACTAGCAACTCAAGAGAGATTTTGTAGGGGGGAAAAAGTACAACGTTTTGATGGCAGGTGATTTATTCACAGCCAAGACATCGATCAACTTTTCATTTGCATCACTTCAACGGGAAATGTAATTAAAGACGTAGTCAAGCCATTTCGAAGAATTAATATTTCAAATTTGGGGTGACCTTATAAAAATGTAGGCTTTTTCAAGTCTTCAGCTGCTACTTATTGCCCATATATAATATTTTCCATGCCTATAGGTGGCAGAATTTTAAAATCTGAATCTTTAGTAATGTTTATGTATCCTTCATTAATTATGTGGTATGCATTAATTTACTACCGTCATGTCATTAAAGAAAATGGGGCCAAATAAGCAATGGGATGATTTAATGCAAAGCAGGTCCCTGCTGAAAACAACAATAGTTGCAATAGTTGCTTATGAACCATCTTACTGTAGCTAGCCAATATGTGTCGGAATAGCACCACCTACTGCTACACTTAATTTAGTGCTACAGGTTGTTATGACAACCCTAAACTTCATCCAATGGAAACTGAAATGTTCCATGACTATTCCTAGAACACCTCGGTCACAGCATCTTGCTAACAATCATTTTCTTAGGAGAAAATCGGCAACCAAAATCTCAAATGTTCCATTTTCTCTTATTGCTGGTTGAGGACCGTAATAAAAGTTTTATTCATTCATTCTCCTGAGATCAACTAAAAAAAACCCTGGGGAAAAAGTTCACGCACCTATGCTCGCCTTAAGGAACATGGGCAGAAGAAAAACAATTAATTAAAATAGAAAAGGGAAGCCAGGTAAAAATCAAGTAAATTGAGGTGGGGAGACTGGAGTAGAGTAGAGGTTGTGGGTTTTTTTGGACATAAATTTTCCCTGAGTTATAATGTACAGAAAGAGAGGGCAGAGAGAATGGAGCATGGCCGAGGTGGCGCAGTGGTTAGAGTGCAATGCTGCAGGCTACTTCAGCTGACTGCTAGCTGCAGTTCGGCAGTTCAAATCTCACCAGGCTCAAGGTTAACTCAGCCTTCCATCCTTCCGAGGTCGTTAAAATGAGGACCCAGACTGTTGGGAGCAAGAGGCTGACTCTGTAAATCGCTTAGAGAGGTCTGTAAAAAGCCCTGTGAAGCAGAATATAAATCTAAGCGCTCTTGCTATTGCGCCTACTTAAGTTTTACCTGACTGAAGCCTCCTGAAGGTTTCTTGGGAGGAGTCTGCCCCACGGCTGGCTGGTCCCCTGGTCTCATGGGTGGAACTTGGTGGCTTCCCGCAGGAAGAGCCGCTTCCCCCCATGTAATGTTGCTGGTGACTGTAGAAGGCTGAGGTGGGACGTTCGGTCTGGACATGCCAGAATTAGGTTTGGCAGCTTCTGGGTGGTTCTTCATGACGCAGGCCAGATCTGTGGGGACGCTTTTCTCCCCAGGAGGGACTGAAGGAAAGGGAAGTCTGTCCTCCACTTTACAGATGGGAAGATGAATCTTGGTGGCCTGGATTGGGTTCTTATCCAAAGGGACACCAGCATGGAGTGGAGGACTTTCTAGTGGTATCTCCGCTGTAGATGGCTCGGCCTGAACGGTTCGTCCAGGACAGGAATGAAGATGACTCTGATCCTCCGAGGCAAAAGTTTGAGTAAGGAGGTGTGTGTCTCCAACTGTACATGGATAGAAGTGGGAGTGGTCCCAGCCCATGTTAGTACCACCGTGAAGGTCTCCTGCCATATTATTAGAGAAAGTGGAGTGGTCCCGAGGTTCAGATGTGACAAGGTGGAGATGGCTGTCGCCTTCAGACGTGCCACTGCTTTGGGGCCCCTGAACTACTGGCAAGCCGCTTCTTTGAAGATCCCCAACCATCTGAAAACTGAGCGGGTTCTCTGGCAGAGCAGCATAGAACTGGAGCCTTTCCGAAGCAGAGCCAGGATATGGGTGGAATTTTTCTAGAGTTCCTGCACTCTCGCTTTTCCCGCAGTTGTTACAGTCTGAATAAATATCTGGTTTCTTCTGGGACTGAACTGAAGCTTGTTGGGCAGATTCGGCCAGGGCAAGAGCCAGGATGCGGGCGGCATTTTTCGGAGGTGGAGGAGGGACAACAGAAACAGAATTGACTGGAGCAGAATCCTGGGGGGTGGCAAGGGCAACGGCTCCTAGTGGGAAGAAGAGTAGAAACAAAACAAAACAAAAACAAAAAGAGAATGGTTTACTACTTTATCCCGTTAAAAGGAGAGTGAGCAATTCCTATAGATCATTATAAAAAAAATAAGTTTTTTTTTTTAATAAAAAAAATAGTCCAACATTTCACAGTGGCAACTCCTTGGCGTGTCAAAGTGCGTCTTCTCTCATGCATGCAAAACAGGGATAGCAGTTCGGTGTGAAAAAGCGCCAAGAGATTGTCTACAAGTTCCTGTTGCGGTCCTAAAGACTAAGCGGCAGGCAGTGCAGAAAGAAAATGCCAGATCGTTGGATGGGACTTAATCACAGGTTACTTTTGGCCAGAAAAAAAGGTCTCTTCTTCGAGTGCAGCCCAATTTATTTCTATGGTTAGTTACAAAAATATACAGTTTTATCAGGAAGCATTCTGATCGGAAGAGATGGTCTCGTGTTATGAAAAAAGTGAAAAGAGACAGGGCTATATAAAATATTCACAGGGTTGTGGGATGTTTGTGTGTGTGTGTGTGTGTGTGTGTGTGTGATACAAGGAGGCTGCAGAGAAGCTTAGGTTCTTTCACTATCAGGACCCAAGCAGCATCTATAGGCTCTGGAAGACACATACTTTGTTATTATTATTATTATTATTATTTATTACTATTATCATTATTACCAGTGTTTCCCCCTCTTTTTAAAGGCGTGCAGAGAAGCGAGAGCTTGGCGGCTTGTGAACTTAAAGAAAAAATGGAGGAAAACACACTGTACCTGGCTGTGTCAGTCCAGAAGGTACAGGCTTACTCTGGCCGCTGCTGAGCGTAAGTGGTTCCACCTCTTCTTGAAGCTCTGCTTTCTTGGTATCTCCCGGGTTCTGGAGTTCCTGCTGGTGTTCTTCACCATGCCTACTTTCATTGCTTCTCAAAGGTGATACCATGAGCTGGGAAAGGGACATGCTTGATGCTTCGTTGCTGTCAATGTTTTTTTTAGCCCAATCCAAAGGGCCAACGCTTTCTGACACTCCTCCGGTAACCACATCTGGCATTCGGCTGGGGACGGCATAAGGAACGGGCTCCAATGCAGAGAGTGGTGGAGACTTGATTGGCTTTTGGATCGACTTGGGGGAATAGGCACAGGTGAGCTTCTCAGAGAAAGACAGGAGTTTTGGTGGTCTCTCTTCAGGTGGGCTCAGATCCAGGGTGAAGAAGGGACTTGGGTTTTTTTCTTGGTAAGGAGAAACTGGTTCCGAGCTGGTGGCACTGCAGGGAGTATGAGACTGGCTGCCCGAGTCTAGCTCTTTCTTAAAGAGGTTTGGCTTATCCTTGTTGTAGTCCATGGACTCCAACAGGGATGTGCTGCTGTCGAGACACTCGGATTCTGCTTTGGGTGGGCTGCACTGAAAAGACATCGGGTCGAAATCCAAGCTAGCCACCCCAATCTCCGGCGGGCTCAGGTCGACGTCCTCTGCCGACCTGGGAGAAATGAGGGCAGGGACCTGCAGATGTCCCTCGTCGCCGTCACTTTCTTGGTCCTGGGGTAGATTGTCGTAAGAATTGCAGCGATTCATGTTGCCCAACAATTCCCCGTTAAAAGAAACTGATAAAGCATCACTGCTCGATCTTGGTCTTCGGGGCCGAAACAGTTTAGACTCACCTGGCCAAAAAGAAAAAAAAAAAGAGGAAAGACGGTCATTAGTACTTTGCCCACTTACGTAAAGGCTCCCCTTCTGTAAAATGGTCAGTTGCTCTTTGGTTTTCTGTAAACAATACAGGAATATATTTTCTTCCGAGTCTTTGTAGTTTGGTGAGGGGTTTTGTTGTCGTTCTTTTGGAGCTTACTTTATTGATTAGCCCTTGGGCCATATCAAAGGGCAGAGTTCCAGACACAAGTTATTACTAAAAGCTGATGAAAACAATTTAAAACGGAATTGGAATAAAATATGATTTAAAATGAAATCGGAATAAAACACAGTTTAAAATGAAATCGGAATAAAATATGATAATTTAATATAGAGATAAATAAAATATGATAAAATTATATTTGGGTGTCACCCTTACAATCTACCCCAATCAGTCTGACGTATGCCGATCTCAACCGAACCATTTTGCTTAAGAACTGTGCTGTGTTAAAATGTTATTTTCAGATTCTGGCGGCACATACGGTAAATTTGTCTTGATATGGGGACTTTGTAGTTAGAATACAGGATGTTCTTAAACTCTGGTCCAGATGTTTATGCACCTCCCCTCATCTATATTAACGTCTCCACAGTTTTGTTTTTCCTGCTAGGACTGGGAAATAAGAAAGAACCTTTCAAGATTTCTGTGCATATTATTTCATGGAAAGATTCTTTTTTTCCCTCCAAAATTGTACCAAAAAAAAGTGGTGATAAAAAGTGACTTATTAAGGAGTAAAAAGCATAAGTTTCTTCACCTTATGCAGACACAAACAAGCCTCCTGAGACCTTTGCCTCCTAATTCTTTATAGATAGGATATTTACTAAAGTATGCATTTGCTGTCTCTAGAAGAAGCTCTTAGGAAAATACAAATAAAAGCCAACTTGCCATCTATTGCATGCAAAGATGAAAGAGACTCTTCGCTCTTGGCGGAGCGCAGGGTTCCACTGTCTCCTCTTCCTCCTGATCAGTCAGAAACAAAACAACGGAATATATTTAAAATATGACCATACATCTCCCAGAGTGTTCTGACCTAGGCTTCCTTAGGAATTAAATAGCACAAACTTAGTCCCGGCAAACCTTTAATTCATACGGCTGTGAACTATTGTCATTCCTAGTCTGAACGGCTTCTCAAACAGTCTTGCAGGAGAGTTTTACAAACACCCACCTTATCTTCCTTGGAATGCTGCCAGAGAACTAATTGCCACACGCAGGGCAAGGCCAAACTTAGCACAGAGTCAAACGGAACTTTCCCAGAGCTTTTACCGACCAGATGAACTAATTGCTTCCTGCAAAAGCTCACGTCCCGTTCGCTTCTCTTTTATGTCTTATGGGAGGGGCCAATCATCTCCAAGCCTTATTCCCAAATCGACCCTGTTTCCTTAATTGTTCCTGCCTCCTGGCATCTCTGCACATGCGCACACTGGGAATAGGCTCACGCTGTTCTTCTGCCTTGCTGATGTCAGACTCCAGAGACTCCGGAGGCAGCAAAGAACTACCAGATGGCCTTGGCCCCCTCTCTGCCTCCAAGTCAGAGCCATCGTCTGAGCCTTCCCCAGACTCCAGGACTGGTACACGTTCCTCTCCAACCTCCTCACTGTCCGAATCTGCTGCCAGCTCTGCTGGCGGGCCACAACACAGAGATGAACATTTATTTGTCTAATACAGTGCTTCTCAACCATAGCAACTTGAAGATGGGTGGATTTCAACTCCCAGAATTCCCCAGCCAGCTATGTTATGCCATGCTGCCTGGAGAATTCTGGGAGTTGAAGTCCACTCATCTTCAAAGGTGCTTTTTCAGGAGGCAATTGGACTTTCTTGTTTTTTCTTTCCATTCCCCACCATCCAATCAGAGCGGAAGAAGCTTCTTGGATGAGAAGTGAAACGTCTTCAAAGGAAAAAAACAAGAAAGCCCAGTTGCCTCCTGAAAAAAAGCACCTTTGGGACAACCACGACCTGGATGATGACTGAGAATTGCTACAAACTGTCACTCATCTTCAAGTTGCCACAGTTGAGAAACACTGGATTAAAAGAACATGTCAAGTTCTTTACAGAGCTGAATTTTTAGCCTTTAAAACATTCGCTATATGAATCAGATGAAGCAGAAACTGGTCAAAGGTTTTGCAAGAGCGTAGTGGACTGACCATGAATATATAACAAAGTATGTTTTCAGGCTGCAACGAGGGGATTCCAGTTCTAAGGAGTGCTCCTGAGCATACGAAGGATGTTTTAGCTATGCGTGCTAAGAAATTAGAGCAATGTCCTCGTGTATAAATGCCTCTTTGGAATCAGAAGAATTCAGGCATTTCTCAATTACATTCAGAGCAGAGCATGCTGTGATTTATTTTGAAATAAATTAACATTAATTTAATTAATGTTAGGGTTAACATAACTGCACAGAGGGTCATTGGTTGCCTTTTCCCCTCCTTGGAAGAGCTTTATAGCTCCCGCTGCCTTAAGAAAGTTCAAAACATTCTTAAAGATCCATCTCTTCCTGGGCACCCTTTTTTCTTTTCTTTTTTTAACTATTACCATCTGTCAGGCGGTACAGGATAATAAAAAACAAGGACAAATAGATTGAAAAACAGCTTCTATCCCAGGGCAGTAACTATATTGAATTCTACTGTATAGTGCAATATTAATGCAATATCAGGGGTTTTCAATTCGATTGTATAGAAAGTGAAGGATGCGTGTTTGTGTTTTATTTTTATAGTTATAATGTACATTGAAGATGGCATTTAATTTCGTTGTACGAGGTGCAATGACAATAAAGTAAACTAAAACTAAAACTGAATTAAATAATTAATACTAAAAAAACAATAACAACAACAATGCATGTGGAGTAAACCAGAAGCATCTAAGGTTAGCTTTGCAACACCTTGCTGTCATGGATACAGGGGCGCCCTTACCTGCCAGAGCGATCGCCTTCATTTCGGATGGCTCGCTTGGGTTGCGCTGCAGTTTCCGTTTGGAAAGAGAGGACGATTTTCCCAGGTTGAAGAAGGAGCGCCAGCTGCCAACGGGGGATTTTTTCATCTTACTGGGAGGCCTCTTTCTATAGCAAGAAAAGATTTGGCATTGAGGAAGTGATTGAATGCACCGTGGTGGCCCCGAAAGCAACATTAGCAATTCACACAGAGAAGCTATAAGCCGACAGCCTTTTATATAGGCCAGAAGCATTTATAGACGTGCGAATGAGAGGGAATGAAGAATATTTCGATTTCAAAACTGTTCCAACGTAACCATGGAAAACCTAAGTGTGGGATAACGCAATTAGACACAGACAGACAGATCCTCCTACCTTTCAGAGGGGAAGTCTATGATGGTATGGAACTTCCCCTGCAAAGCAGCAGGTCCTTCACCGACTTCGATGTACTTGCTGTCTGTCAGAGCTGGGGAATTTATTTGAGCCTGAGTCCTTGCCTGGGCCTCCTCTAAGGTAAGCAGCTTTGTGGAGGGGGAGGACACCAGCAAAGATTTAGGTCGTGACAAGGAACTGTGACCTGCCACAGAAACAGAAGGCAAAGCAGAGAGAGAACAATGTGAGTTATGAGAGCCCGTGAAGAAAGAGATTCCTGAAATTATATCTACAGACCAGTGGTGGGTTGCCCCCAGTTCGGACTGGTTCGCAAGAACCGGTAGTAAAACCGGCGGGAGGCTCCGCTGTCATCAGGAAGTTTCTGCGCATGCGCGCGGTCCCGTTGCAAACCGGTAGTAAAGGTAAGCAGAACCAACCCCTGCTATAGACCCCTCACATCCTGGACATAAATTGTTTCAACTTCTACCCACAGCACACCAGAACAACTAGACACAAGGACAGTTTTTTCCCCCGAACGCCATCACTCTGCTTAACAATTAATTCCCACAACACTGTCAAATAATTTACTAAGACTGTATTACTATTATTCTTCACTTCCTTACTAGAACCTATCTCTTTCCACTTATTACTATAACCATGTTTCTTGTATCTTTCAATTTATATTGTTTTTATTTGTTTCCTAGTACGATTTGATAGCTTATTTGTAACCTTGACTATCACTGTTTTATCTTTTTATTCTCGATGAATGTATTTTATTCTCCTTATGTACACTGAGAGCATATACACCAAAGACAAATTCCTTGTGTGTCCAATCACACTTGGCCAATAAAGAATTCTATTCTATTCTATTCTATTCTATTCTATTCTATTCTATTCTATTCCATTCTATTCCATTCCATTCCATTCCATTCCATTCCATTCCATTCCATTCCATTCCATTCCATTCCATTCCATTCCATTCCATTCCATTCTAAATAGAGATATCACGGCCCAACATTTCCTTTATCACAGGACTTAAGCAGGGAATCTTCAAAACACATTATGCTTTTACCAAGAAAAGTCTGGCAAAGAAAAAATAAAGTTTGGGTTTAACATAGTGGACATTCCATCGGATTATTTTTCTTTCCCTTCACTACATGATAGGACTTGGGACTCAATTTTGGTTCCCGGTTTTCTTTTTTACTTCTATAATTTTACCTCTATAAATACTTGAAAAGGAATCTCTTTTCCCACATAATGGCCTTCACAAGCTCTTTCATTAGTATAAAATGTTTTGCAAAATGCTATTCCTCCACCCCCCCCAAAAAAGTCGGTGAATTTTACTCCCAATTTAAATTCAAGAAAATATTGCTTTAAGATTATGTGTAGCTTTTAACGCTTAAATATTACCGACTACCTTCTAGCAGAGATACTGCTAAACCCAGTGAGTTCAAAAACCATTTCATTAAAAAAAACAAAAAAAAAAACTCACAGGAGAAATTCCACCACATTTAGCACTTTTTTACATTTTGAAGACAATAATTAACAAGTCAAGAGATAGCATCAAACAAGCAGACACTACTTCTTAATGGCAACTGTGCTGAAAAGGTTGGGAATATACATCAGGCCAATCCACAAAAAATCTGTTATGTTTTGCCTTAGTATGTTGTGTGAATTCAACCATTGTGACTTTTAAGCCATTGTTAACGACTTAATGAGTTGTGGAAACCCACCCAATTATATGTCCTTAGGGTTCGTTTTTTTTAAAGTAATGGTTTCTTTTTAAAAAAAGGAACAATATGTAAATTCAGCATTTGTCTGCTTGACAGGGAAGACAGGCATGGTTTAACACCAACTGAGTTCGTTTTCCACTGATGTGCTAAACTGTTTGTTGAATTTCTTATAAACAAAACTTTGCCAGAATGGTGACAGTCAGGGAAATGTTTGCTGAAGTCTGAGGCTACTGCTGTCACTCAAACTGAAACAGATAATTTCACTCCATTCTTTTCCCCTAACTTGAGGGGGGGGGGGGAAGACATATTTTGTCTATGGAGATTCTCAGTCATCCAGGTCAGGTTGTCTCAAAGATGCTTTTTCTGGTTTTTCTTTGAAAATGTTTTGCTTCAAAATAGAGATAATATAAGAATAATTTTGGACACTTTAGAGTATTATGAAGCACATCCTGAAAAACAGATGGCTTTGGTATTTTTGGACGCACAAAAAGCTTTTGATAATGTTAATTGGCGATTTATGATACTCCAAATGGAAAAGATGGGCTTTGGTAGGAAATTTATACAGGCAATTGAAGCTATTTATTTTAAACAGACGCCAAAAGTAATGATAAATGGAGAATTGACTGATCCTATTGAAATAGAAAAAGGCACTAGACAAGGATGTCCGCTGTCCCCATTGTTGTTTATAATGACGTTAGAAGTTTTAAATAGACGCATCAGAGAAGAAAAAGAGATAAAAGGCATGAAAATCCAAAAAGAAGAATATAAACTTCAAGCCTTTGCAGATGATTTGGTTTTGATCATTGAAGAACCATTAACAGAATAAATAAGTTGATAGAAACTGTTGGAGAATTTGGGAAAGTAGCTGGCTTGAAAATTAATAAAGATAAAATGAAGATAATGACTAGAAATATGTTGAAAAAGCAAAAAGAAGAACTGATGGAGGTTTCAAAAATGCAGGTTACAAACGAAGTAAAATATTTGGGGATATATTTAACACCAAGGTATAGTGCACTTAAAGAAAATAACTATAATAAGCTTAAACAACAGATAGGGCAAGACTTGGTGAAATGGGGTAATTTGCAGTTATCTTTGATTGGTAGGATCTCAACTATCAAGAGGAATATTCTACCTAGAATTATGTACCTATTTCAGACAATTCCTATCAAGTTGGGTAAGGAATTTTTCGTAGATTTAAATAAAATGATACTGAAATATATTTGGCAAAGAAAAAAGGCGAGAATAAAACTAAAACCGAAAATGTTTTGCTTCTTGGATGAGAAGTGAAACGTCTTCAAAGAAAAACCAGAAAGTCCAGTTGCCTCTTGAAAAAAGCACCTTTGGGATATTTTACGCTTGGGATGGTGGAACGAAAGCTTGGTACAAAGCCTTGAATAGCAAAATGCTTTTAGAATGGACACTCCACAGTTACCCAACTGTTAACAGAGGGACCATTTTCCATGATGGACATCTGTGGCAGGACACTCGCTAAGCTTCATTAGCCTCCAATGAATGTGAGGTAGGTGGTTGTTTATTAAGCTGCATTTCTCCATTTGGTCGGCCAAGCAGAAAAATGAAAACTTTTGACGCTGCTCTCCCTATGTTTTTCAATGTTTGTTTTAGTTTGTTTCTGACATACATACCTGCACTCTCTCGAATGACAGAGCTGAGTTTAGAGCTGAAAAGGACATCCACGTGATTGAGAATGAATTCCACAACCACTGATTGGATTCGTACTTCCATAAAAGCTGCTGTTCCACTGAAGCAAGCAGATTCTATCTGTTTTGATCTGGGGAAAAGAACGCAAGCGTTACCCAGCGCTCCAGCCAGCACTAACAGTTCCTGGTGGACACAGACAAGTCAACTGAATGCCTTCCCTTTTTCACAGGAACAAATATTTGCACAGTGGTCGCGGTGTGAAGTCAACACACACAGTGCTACCGAGACAGATACAGATTAACAGAGGTGAAAGGGACCTTGTAGGTCATCTAGTCCAACCCCCTGCCCAAGCAGACCGTACACCATTTTTGACAGATGGTAGTCCAGTCTCTTCTTGAAAGCTTCCAGTGATGAAGCTCCCACAACATCTGAAGGCAACTTCTCTTCCATCGGCTGATTGCTCTCACTGTCAGAAAATTTCTCCTTATTTCCAGGTTAAATCTCTCCTTGATCAGTTTCCATCCACTATCCCTTGTCTGGCCTTCAGGTGCCTTGGAAAACAGATTGACCCCTTCCTCTCTGTGGCAGCCCCTCAAGTATTGGAAGACTGCTATCATGTCTCCCCTGGTCCTTCTCTTCTCTTCACTAGACTAGACCTACCCAGTTCCTGCAACCGTTTATCGTATGTTTTAGCCTCCAGTCCCCTAATCATCCTGGTTGCTCTTCCCTGCACTCTTTCTAGAGTCTCAACATCTTTTTTATAGTGTTGTGACCAAAGCTGGATGCAGTACGGTTGACATAAGTTGACAGCTTGGGTATTCTCTCTTCCATAATATAATGCAGAGCAGTTACCACATATGGACTTTGCATCTGTGAATAGGAAGAATCCTTCACCTCTTTCTTGCAAAAGAGGGGTTCATAATTTCTCTGTGAGAATTTTTATTATTATTATTATTATTATTATCATCATCATCATCATCATCATCATCATCATCATCATCATCATCATCATCATCTGTGGCAGTTTTCCCTAACAGGGAATAAAGCTTAGTCTATCTCTCAGCTAATTCCTGGCACGAGCCAAGCTTCTTTCTAGTAAAAACAAGTAAATCTTATCCTTTTGGTTCTAAGTAAGGATATAAACTGCCCTGCTTCTTTCTTCACAAATCAATCATTTTACCTCGTTGGGGCCAATTTCCCCAGTGAATGTTTTCCTTTTTTTTTTTTCATTAAAAAAAACTGACAAAAAGTAAAATATTATAAGCCACTTCTCACACTATAGAAAAAACACTTTCGTTTTCAAAAGGCTTTTTAAACATTAAAATGTGCTGGTAGAAGTTTTCTAACAAATGTTATTAAAAGGTATAAACTGTCATGAGTTACAGCTCAGTTCAACGGATGTGATTTAATCTCCTTATATAATAAGAGCCAGAGGCACTCTGAAAAAATAGGGCTATCCGGTGGCTTCTGCCCTTTGCGATTGTGGTGGCATGCAGACAACAACACATATGTATGCCTGCCTTTTGTGTGCTGATCAGCGTATACGCGAGAACCTCGTAGAATGCAATTAATGTTGCTAGTTTTGGGGCAAGTTCTGTTTAACTTGTACACATTTTAATCTTATATTTTATAGTTTATGGCTCAAATAGGCCTGAGCCTAAGCCATTCGGGTCACGCTTAAGAAAAAATGTAGGCATCCAGACTGCTAAAGGTAAAGGTTCCCCTCACACATGTGTGCTAGTCGTTCCTGACTCTAGGGGGCGGTGCTCATCTCCGTTTCTAAGCCAAGGAGCCAGTGCTGTCCAAAGACATCTCCATGGTCATGTGGCCGGCATGACTAAACACCAAAGGTGCATGGAATACTCTTATCTTCCAACCAAAGGTGGTCCCTATTTTTCTACTTGCATTTTTGATGTGCTTTCGAACTGCTAGGTTGGCAGAAGCTGGGACAAGTCACGGGAGCTCACCCCATTACGCAGCACTAGGGACTCGAACCGCTGAACTGCCGACCTTTCGCTCAACAAGCTCAGCATCTTAGCCACTGAGCCACCGCGTCCCTTACTTACTGTAGTATGCCTTATTTTAATTGTGATGCTTCTAACATAAACAAATTTTCATATTGTTGGTTACCATAGACTAACATGGCTTTCTTCCTACAAAGTCCGCAATCGATAGATACCTTAGTAAGTTTGGTGCCCAGACAATGGCTAAGTTCTTGGTATGCATGTTTGTGATGGCACAATATTCAGCCAGATGTGACAAATGCCTCATAAGGAACTCCAGGGTCCTGGAAAAAAGGCAAGAAATTTAGCCTATGGTTTAAAAAAAAAAAAACCCAAAGTAAAGGGGATTGGGAAAAATTATCAACAAAATCAGGTAACCTAAACAGATTAATATTTCACTTTTTGAAAAATGGCCCACTCTGCTTCCTTGTTGCATTGCAAAACCCAAGGAAGACAAATATATGCCACGTGGATCAACATAGTCCTAGATGTCTCCAGCAGTCAAGGTTTATATAGAGCAGGGGTCTCCAACCATGGCAACTTTATGACTTGTGGACTTCAACTCCCAGAATTCTGGGAGTTGAAGTCCATAAGTCGTAAAGTTACCAAGGTTGGAGACCCCTGATATAGAGTATAGACAATGTGAGATTCCATTACTGGTGACTTGTTTTCTAAATGGAAATTGCTGTCTTTGATGACCATTAGAGGGAGCCTCTACCACATTATCTAGCTAAAGAACTGTACATTTTCCCTGTGCAAGGAAGAAAGAGAGAGAGAGAGAGAGAGAGAGAAGGTCCGGTTCAGATGATGAAAGCAGCATCAAGAGATTGCATAACTGACCAATAAAAATATGTTAAACCTTTGTTAGTAGATTTTGTGTACAGCAGGAACACATGAATCCTTTCAAATAGTTCTAGAAATGAATATTTTGAGTATCAGTATCTAAGACTGATTTATGTTGATTGCTTATTTAGTATCCTATGACTATCACTAAGTGTTGTATCTTATGATGTATGATGAATGTATTTCTATGATGACTACGATCATGATTTATCACTTATAACTTTATGTACACTGAGAGTTTATGCACCAAAGACAAATTCCTTGTGTGTCCAATTACATTTGGCCAATAAAGAATTCTATTCTATTCTATTCTATTCTATTCTATTCTATTCTATTCTATTCTATTCTATTCTATTCTATTCTATTCTATTCTATTTTCTATTCTATTCTATTCTATTCTATTCTATCCTATCCTATCCTATCCTATCCTATCCTATCCTATCCTATGTACTCTACTCTACTCTACTCTACTCTACTCTACTCTACTCTACTCTACTCTACTCTACTCTACTCTACTCTACTCAGATATTTCAGAACAAAGCACAGTTAATTTTCCCTGGATTCTGCTCCCTGATTTAGGAAGACATCCAATAACTAAGGCTGTGTTGATACTCATAAAGTTCCAGTGAATCCTTTGCATGTGAATGTTTAATATACAATACAGATTTTGGTTCAACAGTAATACTACATGTCTAAAATGAATAAAGAATAATAGGATTTAACAGAGAGGAGTTCTGAAAGGTACTGTAAAGCAATATTGCTGGGGTGTTAAATGTAATCAACAGAAAAATTAAGGGAGAGGCAATGTGAAGCAGTGACCAGGGTGCTGGATATTGGTGAGGGAGTCCCAGTCCTCCTTTAGGCACAGAAACCAGCTGGCTGATCCTTGGGCCAGTCATTCCCTCTCAGCTCTGAGCAGCTTTGGGCTTTGCAACAAGCCAGGTGAAACACCAAATCTTTTGCTCTATGTGCTAGACGAGTGTGGTGCCAAACACAGGTAGAACAAATCCAAAGAAGAAAAATGAATAATAAAGAAATAAATATACTGGGACTCTAGTGTCTGTTGACAAACAAAGGGATGATTTCCTGGGCGTAAAACACATACACCTATTGCACTATAACTGAGTAATCCATCTTTAGTATAAATCAGGATGGAAACCCAGTCTTTCAGCCCCCTATACTGCTGACTCAAATGTTCAAATACAATAGCACTTAGACTTATATACCGCTTCACAGTGCTTTACAGCCCTAAGGGGTTTACAGAGTCAGCCTATCGCCCCCCCAACAATCTGGGTCCTCATTTTACCCACCTCAGAAGGATGGAAGGCTAAGATAAGGAGGAATCAGAATATTTTAAAACATGGAATTATTTTTATAGTTGGTTGGAAAAGAGATATAAATGACTGATACTATAATTGTGTACAAAAGATTATTATAATATTGATTTAGAAATGAAATGTTAGAATGGTTTGGATGAATATGAAGATAGAAGAAACTTATGGAAGATGGAGAAGAAGATAACACCGAGACATCACAGGGAAGGGAGGATTGATGTATTAAATGTTTTTTGTCTTAAAAAATATTTTTTTTTACTAAAAAAAAAAGAAGGATGGAAGGCTGAGTCAACCTTGAGCCTGGTGAGATTCGAACTGCCAAATTGCAGGCAGCCAGCAGGCAGCAGAAGTAGCCTGCAGTAGTGCATTCTAACCACTGCACCATTATGGCTCAAATAGGCTTGAGCCTAAGCCATTCGGGTCATGCTTAAGAAAGAATGTGGCCATTCAGACTGCTACTTGGGGTATCCAACCTTGGCAACTTTAAGATCTGTGGACTTCAACTCCCAGAATTCCCTAGCCAGCTGAAGTCCACAGGACTTAAAAGTTGCCACAGTTGGGAGGGACACCCTTGCTCTAAATAGTGACGGGTATGGCGATGTGTCAAGGAAAAGAACAAGTGCCAGACCTCCTTAATTCTACAAAGCTGTAAGAAGCCAAGGAGCTAGTACAGGAACAGATACAAGCAACTCTCAATGTTCAATGTGGCCTTCGCTGTGCTAAAAATTAGCGAGAAATCTTAAGACTTTAGTAAGATCTATTTCTTTCCATTTCGAAATGGGTTTCATATTCCGTTTCTATGGCATGCTGAGTTAAGACATCTGATCAAAGGATTAAATCCTCAAGTTTCCCATAACCACACCATGCCCTTCCTCTGATGCTGGATGCATACATACATACTGTATGTAGCTAAACAGCAATGTTCTCCAAGCCGGCTACAAGAAAATCTCTAAATCTTTTCCAGATCTCTAAACCACTTGTCTGACTCACTTCTGCCAGCACTTGTATCTTATCCTTAATGTGGATTGTACTGAGATGAGCTGTCCTACTTCCCTGCTGACTCTTCAGCACTTCTGCTATCTCTGTGCTAGTTAGACTCGCATTTCAATTCTATTAAATTTTTAATTGACGATTCCGCCTGAAGGGCAAGATAAGAGCCTGTAATTTCTTCAAATTTGTTCCCCTTTCGTGCCCTGGAGTTCAATATTTCTAAGAGGCATGCTGAGGTTTGCATGATGCTTCCACGCCCACTTCATAGAGGATCAGCAGGGAGGACACAGATGTGTTATTTGTCTTGTTACTGAGCTAAAGAAAGTGGAAGTCCACTTCGTGTCATCATAAATCTTTCATGATACTAAAATAACAGAGCTGGAAAGGACTCTGGAGGTCTTCTAGTCCAACCCTCTGCCCAGGCAGGAAACCCTACACCACTTCAGACAAATGGCTGTCCAATCTCTTCTTAAAAACTTCCAGTGTTGGAGCTTTCACAACTTCTGCAGGCAAGTTGTTCCACTGATGAATTATTTTAACTGTCAGGAAATTTCTCCATAGTTCTAAGTTGCTTCTCTCCTTGATTAGTTTCCATCCATTGCTTCTTGTTTTACCCTCAGGGGCTTTGGAGAATAGTTTGACTCCCTCTTCTTTGTGGCAGCCCCTGAGATATTGGAACATGCTATCATGTCTCCCTTGGTCCTTCTTTTCATTAAACTAGACATACCCAATTCCTGCAACCGTTCTTCCTATGTTTTAGCCTCCAGTCCCCTAATCATCTTTGTTGCTCTTCTCTGCACTCTTTCTAGAGTCTCCACATCTTTTTTACATCGTGGTGACCAAAACTGAATGCAGTAAGTGTGGCTTTACCAAGGCATTATAAAATGGTTTTAACACTTCACGTGATCTTAGTTCTATCCCTCTGTTTAAGATATGCATTCATCTGCTTAATTTCACAGAGGCAAGAAGGGATCACCAGTAAACCAGCAACTTATAGGACAGAGAGGTCCATCTCTTCGTATAGGTAGTCCTCGACTTACAACAGTTCATTTAGTGACCATTCAAAGTTACAAGAAGACTGGGGGGGGGAAAGTGACTTGTGACCATTTTTCACACAACCGTTGCGGCATCCCCATGGTCATGTGATCAAAATTCAAACGCTTGGCAACTGACTCATATTTATGACGGTTTCAGTGTCCCGGGGTCATATCATCACCTTTTCTGACTTTCTGACAAGCAAAGTCAAGGGGGAAGCCAGATTCACTTAACAACCGTGATTTTAACTTAACAACTGCAGTTGTTAAGTTGATTCACTTCATAAGTGTGGCAAATGTTGTAAAATGGGGCAAAGCTTACTTAGCAAATGTCTCCCTTAGCAACAGAAATTTTGGGCTCAAATGAAGTTGTAAATCCAGGACTACCTGTGCAGCCTTATGATTTTTTGAACTCCCTAGCCTTCTTCAGAATCCGATATTTCCTAGCAATTTCTCATCCAAATACTAACCAGGCAAGATTCTGCTTAGCCCATTAGCCAAAGCCAAGCCAGCCTACCTGCTGAACAGACCAAGAACTTCAGTCTTTAAAGAATTATTTTTACAACTGTGTATGGAATGAGGAAGGCAAAAAGGACATTGCTTGTAAAACAGGGTGGATATCGATTAGTGTTAATGGAGGCATATTGCTATGTCTACAGGGAAAACAGGACACAGGCTTCTACAAAATCACCCAGGGTTCTTTTTTAAATAACATAATCCCCAGTCTGTGTAAACCAGGGGTGAAATCCAGCAGGTTCTGACAGGTTCTGGAGAACTGGTAGCGGAAATTTTGAGCAGTTCGGAGAACTGGCAAATACCACCTCTGGCTGGCCCCAGAGTTGGGTGGGAATGGAAATTTTGCAATATCCTTCCCCCAGGAGTTGGGAGGGAATGGAGATTTTGCAATATCCTTCCCCCAGGAGTGGGGTGGGAATGGAGATTTTGCAATATCCTTCCCCCAGGAGTGGGGAGGGAATGGAGATTTTGCAATATCCTTCCCCTGGAGTGGAGAGGGAATGGGGATTTTGCAATATCCTTCCCCCAGGAGTGGGGTGGGAATGGAGATTTTTCAGTATCCTTCCCCCAGGAGTGGGAAGGGAATGGGGATTTTGGCAATATCCTTCCCCCAGGAGTGGGGAGGGAATGGGGATTTTGCAGTATCCTTTCCCCAGGAGTGGGGAGGGAATGGGGATTTTGCAATATCCTTTCCCCAGGAGTGGGGAGGGAATGGAGATTTTGCAATATCCTTCCCCAAGGAGTGGGGTGGGAATGGGGATTTTGCAGTATCCTCCCAGGAGTGGGGAGGGAATGGGGATTTTGCAGTATCCTTCTCCTACCACACCCACCAAGCCACACCACGCCCACCAAGCCACGCCCACAGAACCGTAGTAAAAAAACTTGAATTCCACCACTGGTGTAAACACAACCGAAATAATTGTGCAATAACCATGTAGGCAGACCTGTAGTGCGGTGGTGGCAACTGCTGGATGACATCATGGATTTTCACCAGTCTTTCTTCGTCGGTAGCAGCAGATACAGCATCCTGGAAAAGGGGGGGGGGGGAAATCCCAAAGTCTCAGCCCAGCACATTTGTTTCTTTTTTCTTTTTTTTTTCTTAAAGCCTTCCACAGGAATACTATCAAAATCATGATGCAGAGCAAAAATAAATGTCTAGCTTACATTTTTGACTGTCCTAAATCACAGGATGTTATATATTACTTTGGTATTCTGTACCAATTCCAATATACAGTAGTGTATAGGGCAGCGGTGTCCAACTTTGCAATCCTGCTGACTGAGGAATTCTGGGAGTTGGACACCCCTGGTATAGGAGATTTTCCCATATTGCTCCCTGGCAAAATAGCTATTGGGATTTGAACTGAGATCTCTTAAATCTACTCTGGCATTGTCATCTAAACCTAGTTTTCGTTACTAAGTTGACATTGGCATTGTCAACTAATCCTAGTTGCTATTTTCTGGGCAAGATTTGTTTAATTTGTACATATTTTTAATCTTTTAATCTTACTTTTTATATTTTAAATTCTATATAATGTATTTTAATTGTGATGCTTCAAAAAATATCTCCATATTGTTGGTTACCATAATAGACTAACATGGCTTTCTTCCTATAATGTCCTCAATCCTGGTGGCAGACTCAGACAGTGAGGAGGTTGGGGAGGAACATGGGCCAGTCCTGGAGTCTGGGGAAGGCTCTGATGAGTGCTCAGAGAGGGGGCAGAGAGGGGGCCAGGGCCGTCTGACAGTTGTCAGCTGCCTTCGGAGTCGGACATCAGTGGGACAGAAGAACAGCTGGAGCCGGTTCCCAGTGTGCTCATGCACAGAGCTGCCAGGAGAAGGGAACAGCTAAGGAACAAGGGTCTACTCGGGAGTAAAGCCACAGGAGGACGGTGAATGGCCCCTCCCAGAGGGAATAAAGAGGAGCGAAAGGCGAGTGGAGTTTGCAGGAGACAATTAGTTCGCTTAATTGGTTCGTGACTCTCTGAGACTCCTTGCCAAGTTTTGAAGATATCGGCCTGGCAGCTCTCCAAGCCAGATAAGGTCTGTGACTGTAAATTCACCCTTGAAAGACTTTGCTGGATGTGAATGAGAGGAATTCACAAAACTTAATAAAAAGGGGTTTTTGTAGGGACAAGGAGTCTGCTTCGTGCTCTTGGGAAGCCTAGTTTAGAACAGTATCTATCCACTGATTTCACTGCCACTCTAAATAAGCTGAAAGCTTCTTTTCCCTAGAGAAATGCCATCCCACGCTTCATGTTCTGTAATATACTGGAAGACCGAATGCATTCTCATATATATTTTATACAGCAATGATATATAGGGAAAGTGCCAGTTATTTAAGTGTGCTTTTATTTCTCCACATTAGCCATAGGAAAATTTTAAGAAATCTCTGAAACACAACTCATGATACCCATACAGTAAAAGAGGGGAGAGGGGGGAGAGGGAGAGAAAGAAAAAAAAAAACAATCTTACCGAAAATTTCTCATAGAGCTGATACGTAAGCAGAGGATTGGGGAGTTCTCGAAAATAGAGCTTGCAGAGTGAACCCACACAGTGTATATCCTGAATATAGACATCTTTTGTCAAGTCGGGGATTTGTTCAGAGTCAAACTCGTGCCTGAAGGTAGGGAAAAACAAAAGGGGATGAGGGGGAAAATATATACCGTGTTTCCCTGAAAATAAGACCCTACCTTATATTTTTTTGAACCCCGAAATAAGCGCTTGACCTTATTTTTGGGGGAGGTCTTATTATTTTGGGGCGCATGGAGCAAGACGGGGCTCCTCTTGCCGTCTTACCTGATTTCCAGCTCTGTCTCCCTAATCCTAACCAGAGGAAATGGCGGGGACCAGCTGCACATGCGTTTAAAGATTTTCGGGGAGGGCTTATTTTGGGGGGGGGGTTATTTTAGCGCATGCGCTCAAAAGCCCGATTGATTTTATTATCAGGATATGTCTTATTTTAGGGGAAACGGTGTATGTATACAATCAGGGCTGGGCTTCAAAAATTTTAGTAAGGGGTTCTCTGCCTGGTTGCTGGGTGGGCATGGCCATTGTGGGCGTTGCCTAGTCAACCTCCTGCACCACAGCCTGCGGGGGGGGGGCGGTTTGCCCTCCCCAGGCTCCAGAAGCTTTCCTTGAGCCTCCGAGAGGGCGAAAACAGCTTCCCCAGGCTCCAGCGGCCCTCTGGACTGAAGTGGTAGGCCCGTTTTTCGCCCTCCCCGAGCCTCCGTGTGCACCCTGCACTTACCTGCATCCAAAATGGGCCGTGTGGGGACTCCTGGGAGGGGAGGGGTGGGTTGGGCAGGGCCAGCCAGGAGTGGGATTTGGGGGTTCTCCAAACTGCACAGAATCTTAGCTAGAGGTTCTCCCGAACCCCTGCAAACCCCCAGCAGCCCACCCCTGTATACAATCAGAAGACAACACCGTTTGCCTTTAAGTAAGATATAAAAGCAACTTAAAACACATGCCATTTTTTTTTGTAAAGCTGCATGTTTTTTTCTAGATGGATTTTTGACAAGCATTTCAATCATCTTATAGCCAATTAGTTTGCTCAGAAAAAACTACTAGCTGCAAAGTGGATGAGGCAATTACATAAATAATTGCAAGGTACGTGGCCCATGTCATAGAGTCACATTAAGTATTAAATGACAGCTTCCTGTTTAGAAAAATTACTCATCTGTCAAACCTACAAAGCGAAAGATGAGTGAGAGGAATGAAATAAAGTCATTGAAAGCCACCCCCAGCCCATATACAAGTCAAAGAAACCAGAACCTTAGAGTTTATTATCCAAAATATTAAAAAGTTTACTATCCAAACTATTGTAGAAAGTTAGCATCCACCCTCTCCTAGAAGAATGAAATACTTTGAGGAATATTAAAAAGGCAGAATATTATAGTTCCCAAAGGGAGAAATGGAAACATATTTTTTAGCGGGAGAAAGCAGCCCCCACCTTCCTTAATAGCCCACAGCAGATGCCAGCACTTAAGAGATAAAGAGATTGATAGCTCTATTCATAAGCAAATATCCTCACCCAAGATCCAACAAAGGAAGGATTAGCCCTCAGCCACAACAGGAATTGTCCAATGCCCCTTTCATTGCACCACCTTCACAAACTTCAACCAAACCTGGGAGCTCAGACAACGTATACAGCCAGCTATAACCCCTACATAGCTTCATGGGAATCTGACAACAGCCAATAGAATACATGTTCTTGCACAGGAACAGGAAGCTCAAGTGCAAAGCCCAAGAGAAGGTATAAAACTCCCTCACTCTCAACTCTGTGTGGTCAGCTGCACCCAGAACCATGTGCTTGGTGATTCTGTTCATCATTAAACCATCTTTCCAAGCAGCCTCCATGTTTCCAGTGTCTTTCTCCCAGCTTGGAACTGAACCAGATGGATCTTTCTTCCAACACTTTAAAAAAATCGTTTCTTTGTATACCTACCAAACAAAGTACAACAACTATTTTTGAAACTTCCTTCTATATTACCTGTGATCTACTGAACGTTCCGAAGTCAGATAACAGCTCCAGAACAACCCAACTGTTTTCTATCCTAATTGATTATGTACTTTGTTTTTTTTCAGACAGGAAAAGAATCTTAAAATCCAAAAGGCAGCTTTGGAGTGAAGGAGAAATCAGGTCTTAGAAAAAGGGCACCCAGCAGAGAATGAAACTCACAAATAACGCACACAACCTTACCGTAACTTTTGGATATTGGATGCGATCCCAGACAGACGGTAGATTCCATCCACAATACCGTGTTTTTCAATGAATTCAGTGCAACTCTTGAGGACCTGGGGAACTTAAAAAGGAAAAGGAAAAAGTGTTAATGGACCATCACATGTTCTCATTAGCATCCTGGCAGATTTGTCCATTCATTGGATCACGAAAGGGTTCTGCCCAGGTAACACTTTTCTTAAAACTCTTGCTTATCTCATTTGTTTATAGATCCAAAGTGAAATCAATACATTTCTAAAAGTGGCCTAAGATAAGTAAGTACCACTGAGAATTGCCTCTAAATTGTAGCTATTACTTTAGTTACCAGTATTATTATACTGCAGGGTTAAACTCCTAGCCTCTATTGAAACCCACTCCTCTCTACAAGCACTGAATTTCTGGCAACATTCTATGGTTTACTAACAAGCATTGGTTCAGAATTCATACAAATTCAAATAACACACACAACTTTGCTTTTAGTTTTATATGTTGTAGAAATTCAGATATCGGAATCTGTCAACCTTATATTGTAATGCATACCTAATCGACTGTGGTTTAGTCAAGAGGCTAAATGATTCAACAAATTTATGCTTAGATGAGATATGTGAACCTACTTTTTCTACCATTTAATCTACAGCACTAAGCAGATGGAATATTTTCGCTGGGATAACAGCTTATTGATTATTCATCCATTCTCACCCAACATGTTTTTTTTCTTTCTTTCTAGGGATAAATAGAAACAGGCAGTATGGAGGATGGGTTTAAATAGCACTGCATTTTTGAGGCATACTGATGTTCAGGGACAATACTACACAGCCCATGGAGGATTGAAGCCTCCCAGTGATTGCAATGTTTTGCTTAACTCGTAAAGAGAGCTAAATATTGCTATAGTTCTGCTCTTGGATTTGTTGTATCCTGACTGGCTGTAGCTAGAAGATCCCAAGGCCTTTGGATAAAAATAAGAAAATCAGCCTTAGGAATGTTGGCCTTTAGCCTACTCACTCTTGACCTAGACAGTTTCAGATTATCAAACCAGACAACAAGTTACTCTTAAGTTAATTATTAAAATTTCTATATGTGTAAGGATATATATTTGAGCATATTAATCAGAGGAATAGAAAAAAGGTAAGCCACATGTACAGTTTCCAGAAGACAGCTTTATAGGAAGTTAATCTGTAACTGAAAAAGCAGCAACACAGATTAGGATCAACTGAAAAGCAGGTAGCATTAGGCACACATTAACATTCAGAGTAACATACCAACCAATCCAACAGCAAGCTGTTCAAAACAACCAATCCTTATACTTTTAGCCCCCCAAAGGAATAAAACAGATTTCATGGCGAATATCTTAAATACCCCTTTAAGCTGGTATTTGACATGGTTAAAAAATAACAAGCATACACATTTAAACCCTGGCAGATACCACGACTAAGTAACTTTGAAAGATTCCTAGGAGAGTTTAAAATCTATTTGTATGTAATCTGCCAACTCACATAAACTGAGAACTGACAAAGAGATACTGAATAGTTCTTAAAGCAAATCCGTATGTAGCAGGTAGATTGTCATTGCCTCGCAATTACAATACTAGTTTTCCTGGACAATTAGGTCCTTACTGAGTTGGAACATCCCCAAAATTATTAAAAAGGAATGCTCATGAAAAAAAATGTAAAAGTGAGACCCAAGACAGGAAGATGGAGAGGGAAAGAGAGATCTATATATAGCCTTGGTAAGACCACACCTAGAGTACTGCATCCAGTTCTGGTCACCATACTATAAAAAAAGATGTTGAGACTCTAGAAAAGAGTGCAGGGAAGAGCAACCAGGATGATGAGGGGACTGGAGACTAAAACATATGAAGAACAATTACAGGAACTGGGCGTGGCTAGTCTAGTGAAGAGAAGGACCAGGGGAGACATGAGAGCAGTCTTCCAATATTTGAGAGGCTGTCACAGAGAGGAAGGGGTCAAGCTATTTTCCAAGGCACCTGAAGGCCAGACAAGGAATAATGGATGGAAACTGAACAAGGAGAGATTCAATCTGGAAATAAGGAGAAATTTTCTGACAGTGAGAGCAATCAACCCATGGAACAGAAGTTGCCTTCGGAAGTTGTGGGAGCTTCATCACTGGAGGCTTTCAAGAAGAGACTGGACTGCCATCTGTCAGAAATGGTGTAGGGTCTCCTGCTTGGGCGGGGGGCTGGACTAGATGACCTACAAGGTCCCTTCCAACTCTGTTAATCTGTTAAATCTCCTAACCCAATACTGAATTTGCTCTGCTTATAATAAATAGATCATGCTTGCTCAAACCCAGTTTTGGCAGCAAACTACTTAAAATGGATTTTAAATGCAAACCCTTCGCAAGACCAGATGTATTTTCCTTGATTATTTTAATCGAGTTAGCGATGATGGGAGACAGGTTGCTGGACAAAACAGGCATTTGGCCTAATCCAGGAAGGTTTCTCTTTGCAATCTTAACTACCGGTAGTTCACAAAAATCATTGCCTGGCTATTTGCAAGTTTGCTTCTCTATGCCATCACCTCAATTTGTAGCAATCATCCTTTTAAATTATAGATTCCAGAAACAATGGTTTGTTACTGTTTCTTTTTTAAATTCCTGATATATTTTTTTTATTATCAGAGTCTGTGCTCTAGCATTTTTTAGAATAGTTGCTCTGCTCCATTAGGAGCCCATTTTAGGTATTGGGAACTGCTAACATGAAAAGATGTGAAAAGGACTACTGTGTCAAAATCATAAGAATATAACTTTTTTTTAAAAAAAATCAAAACAATAGGCCCTTTCTCCATCTATTCACCCATCCATTTTATCCATCCAGCCATCCCTCCTCCTTCCTCAATTACTTAGTCTTCAATTTAAGAACCTCAACTTTTCTCTCCTAATGCCAAGTGAAACTGGTCCTCTAAATATTTGACTCAAATAAAGCATTAACATAGATTTCAAAACCGAGAAGAAAATAAAAATCATAAGCACACCCGGATTTTCCAATGGTTTGATCCATTAATGAATAGTTTAAAACAGGGGTCCTCAACCCGTTAGGAACAGGATTGCACAAGCAAGCAAAACTTCATCTGTGCATGCGTGGGGGAGCTAGGTAACACGCAAAACCATTCCCCCCATGGAAAAACTGTCTTCCATGAAACCAATCCCGGGTGCCAAAAAAGCTGGGGACCACTGGTTTAAAATAAAGGAGTAAGTTGGAGCTACAAAGTGAAGAAAGTTAGCACCAACCCCTCTCCTAGAAGAATGAAATATTTTAGGAAATATTAAAAAGGCATAATATTATGTTTCCCTGGATGAGAAAAGGAGAAGTGTGTTTTTTAAGACAAAGCAGCTTCCTGAAGCTCCCTGCCCTCCCCTCCTTCAGCTCCAGGGTGATGGGATTAAGACAAGGCCTTCAGGACATGATAGGATTAGCCCACTACCCATCTCATCACATGGCATCTGGGAAGATTACATCACCCAGCAAGGCTCAACCAAGCCTGGGACACAGACAGCCTACAAAGTTAGCTAAGAGCCCTGCCCCCTGGGAGTCTGACAGCCAATGGGATACATTTCTTATACAGGAACAGGAAATTCGAAGGCAGGGCCCAAGAGAGTGTATACATATATCCTTCTCTCCACTCCATGTGCTTTTTTTGCCTGGGACCTCAAGCCATGTGGTCCTGCTGTCCACCATTAAACCATCTTTCCAAGCAGTCACCATGTTTCCAGTGTCTTTTTCCCCACTTGGAACTGAACCCAGATGGACATTTATTCCAACAATAGGTACTGATGTATTCATTTGTAAAGAACACGGCATTTGTCTTTCCTTCTTTCATTAACCCCATTCTCTTCCAGGAAGAGGTTAGGCCCTGCACAAAAACATCCAGAGGTTCTCAATGATCCCCCCCCCCTATCCCAACTGCTACCTCTATGAACTGCTTTATTGACACAATGGATACGGGAGAACAAGCTCAGCATGTTTCCCTTCACATCTGTCTCCTGGAGCTTTCCAGCCTTGTAGCAAACAGCGTCAGGAAGAGCTATATCTGTCATCATTAAATTTCAGGAGCACCCCACTGTGATATTTAACATCAAGGTAAAAGGGAAAACAATCCCTTCCCAAAAGTGGAGAGGGGGAGGAGTTCTTCTAAGAAGTTCTTCTATTTACAGGTAGTCCTCGGTTTTGCAAATTGAAACAGTCAAAGCAGCATTAAAAGTATTAGTGTCTGTGCCACTAAATGTACATGAAGGTGGTATTTGGGAGTGAGGAGCAGAGTACGTATATTCCCCCAAAAAAATGATACGAAGGTTTTTAAAACCTGTAAAACAGATTCAAGTGTTTATCTCACAATGTATCAAACACAAAAGATTCCCAGTCTTAATATATATATATATATCAGCAATATATTAATTTATATATTGCTGATAAAGAAATAAAGGGAGACTAGTATAGATCTATTTCAAGCTATTTAGTCCTCATCAGCTAGCCATACCCTTACTTGGATTCGAACTTGGGCTGCCTACATGTCAGGCAGTTGTATTAACCTCTGAGCCACAAGTTCTCCTCCCTTCATCAACCTGAGCCAGGGAGAGATTGAGCCAGGTGTCTCAATAGAAAAACACACACACACACACACACACACACACACACACACACACACACACACACAGAGGGGGGGATAGTTCTCAACTTACGACCACAATTGAGCCCAACATTTTTGTTGCTAAGTGAAACATTTGTTAAGTGAATTTCGCCCCATTTTACCACCTTTCTTGCCACAGATGTTAAGTGAGGAACTAGAGTTGTTAAATTAGTATGGTAACACGGTTGTTAAGTGAATCTGATTTTCCCATTCATTTTGCTGGTCGGAAGATCACATGACCCCAGGGACACTGCAACGGTCATAAATGTGAGTTTGTTCCCAAGCATCTTGAATTTTGATCACGTGTACATGGGGACGCTACAAAGGTCATAAGTGTGGGGAAACGGTCATAAGTCACTTTTTTCTGTGCTGTTATAACTTCGAACGGTCACTAAATGAATTTTTGTAAGTTGAGGACTACCTGCAGCTCATTTGCCATTTT